TTAAGTTATTGAGTTTTAAATTAATTCTTTGTTCATATTCATGAATTTCTTAAAATAATTTTCTTTCGTTTCAATTTATGTAAATCTATTTGATTGGGTACGGAATTTAAGAAAAAAATAAAACTTTTAAAACTCGTAGACCTAAACAAACCATAACATTTGTCTGAGTATAATTCTTTTGAATCTTGTATTATTAATGTTAGAAAATTACAGAAGATTAAAGGAGAAGTATAGCTTTGAGACATGAAAAATCATTACCTTTCAAGAAATATTGCTCGTATATTATTTGGGGGATTACAAGCAATTCTCCGTCAAGATATAACAAAGCCAAAATTGTACATGCAATTGAAAAATCGAACTCAAGAGAAGACTTTTCAGAAAAGTCACACTCGTATACGAACAATTATGTCTGTTCTATTTAAAATTCAAACTTAAATTTTAAATAATTAGAAACTGCTCCAAAAAGATAAATACNTTAAAACAAAGTTGGGGGGTTAAATGCCTATTTATAAATAGCCAACGACTATTTTGGCAGGTAACACGGCCATATTTTAAATGCTATAAAGGCTATAATGTGGCAGATTCTTTTTTTAAAAAGATTTAGCCCTTTGGTTCAGATAGGCCCGTTTAGGACCGCTTGAACCGGCCTACTTCCCAGCCGGTCACGGTCCCGGTCTCGCGGGCCTCGCCTATGGGACCGGCCCACTACTCAGCCCAGCTCCCCACGGTCCCGGTCCTATCCGGTTAGAATCGTTTAGGCCTACTGCCTATTTGGATTTGCGGTCCTGAGTCGGGCCCGGTCTTAACCGGCCCACATGCCATCCTTATAACAGACAACAAGTGGAACCAAAAACGAAGAAGCTTATAATTAGGAGGGTAGGGTTGGTTGGAACTAAGAAGCTGGACATAGTTCCCAAAAGAAGGCAAGCCTTAATTCGAGTGCTAAAGGGAACATAGGCAAGTGAGGCTGCATGGAATTACTAAAAGGAGAAAGTGATATCGTTGCATGGAATTGCTAAAACAACAACTACTGAGTTATTACTAAAAAGAGTGTTAGGAAACGAGGGTCGTGTCGATCCTTGTGGTTTGCTCTTGAGAACAGTGAATTTTCTGCATCAAAGTTGGAGTTAGAATTTTGGGTTTTGAATTCTAAAAAATAGTTTATATATTGAGTTTTTAATAAATTATTTATACATATTAAGTGAATTTTCAATACAAATATATAAGTAGGGTCAAAACTACTAGATTATACCGAACCGATAAGCATAACTTAGCTCCGCCCATGGGTTTCATAATCGTCTTTCACGTTCCAATTTGAAGATGTTTTTTCCTTTTGGCTTGAGCAAGTGCGTTAATTTAATTTGATCATTTTCTAAAAGAAAAATTAATCAAGCATTTGACACTTATTGTGTCATTTGATTTGCGGATAAAGTTACACCAAAATTATAATACCACCTCCGTTCACTTTTACTTGGCATGTATACTAAAAATATTTTTTTATTTTCTTGTCACTTTACATATATCAAGATAAGACAAAAGAAATTTCCTGTTATACCCATAGTATTTATTACTCATTTCAAATCATTTTCTCAAATCCAATAAAATATGCATCAATTAATATGACTATTATGGTAAATTATGCATTTCATTTAATATTTCTAAAGGGACATGAAAAGTCAAAACGTACCAAGTAAAAGTGAACGGAGAGAGTATCAAGGACAGTAATACGACGAGTAATGATTATTGAGTTATCTAGTGCATTTTCTTTTTAGTCATGTTTAGTTCTGCGAAAAGAATTAAGAAAGAAAAGGACATACAATACATAGTTTAGAAGTTTAAATTTTTATATTTTTAAACATTTTATCCACGTAAAGCTAATCCATGGTACTTATAAGTTATCTCATGTGCAAAAATACTAATGAAATGTAATAAAGTATAATGTACTGAAACTTTAGTGAATTATTTTTCTAATCTCGATAATCAAAACGACCCCTTAATTAATTAAGTATCAGTATGGATGAACATCAAGAATGAGTGATATGTATCTTAGTGGGCGTTTGGACATAAGAATTGTAAAATTCTAAAATAGAGGGAAAATTAAAAATTGTATTTGAAATTTAGAGTTGTATTTGGACATGAATATAATTTTGGATTGTTTTTAAAGTTTTGTGAGTGATTTGAGTGAAATTTTTTTAAAAACAGCTATTTGGAGTTTTTTCAAATTTTCAAAATTTTTCAAAATGCATCTTTAAGTGAAAATTGGAAATTTTATGAACAAGCGCTGATTTCGAAAAAAATAATTTTTTTTTGGAAAAAGAGGAAAAATTTCTTATGTCCAAACGGTCTCTTAATCTTTCTGTCATGGTGAGGTGTTGGTTAGAGGCGGGGCTAGAGTTTAGGTTACGGATTGTCCCGAGCTCAATAGTCTTAATCCAAATTATGTATTCCGTATGTTCCAGGTTATGTGATTTTATTTATTTATTTTAGTCCGTCCCAAAAAAAATGATTCATTTTTAAATTTGAAAATAATTTAACTTAAACTACTAATTCTATCATTAATAANTACAATATTTTTGTCTTTAAATTTGAATTAAAAACTTTAGGTGACAATTCTATAATATAATTTATAAGGAATTACCTTAGATATTTTTATTACTATTTTTTTTCTCTAACTTTTATTCCGAATTTACGCTGCTTAAGGCCCGTTACAAGGGAAAATGCTTTTTCATTCCTTATAAGGCCCGAACTTGGAATCAGCGGCAGTGCCAAGATTTGAAATTTATGAGTTCTCAACTTACAATTGAACTCATAGTTCGTCTTAGTCTTGGCTGGAATTTCACTGTGTATACCCATTTACATTTAGATCCCACAGTCTTCTTTCCAGGAGGTAAATCAACAATCTCCCATGTCCTTCCCTTCTTTCGTCCGTCCACGAGGCTGTAAAAAGAGAGAAAGGGAGGCTAGCTAGCGGGAGTCTTTTCGAATAGGAATTGATTCGATCTTATTATTGGAATATGAAGATTCAACTGAATATACTGTTTTTCAAGAAGGAATCGCCATCACTAGTGGAAGTTGAACCCGACGATCTCTTCCTCTTGAAGTATGGAAAAAGGAAGAAAAAGCAATCAATCACAGGGAAGGAAGGAGGAAATACTTATATACATTTAATGAATTTTCTAACACAAATACAAGGTTTAAGCAAAAGTCACTAACTCACTGGATTCGTCCGAATCCGTTCCTAATGCTCTACCTCCGCCCCTGCCTCGAACATTGGTTAAGGATGGAGGAATTTTATTTATCACACCACAACTCACACCACAACTCTGAATGGTTTAATTATAATCTTCAATTACAAGTAAATCAAATTCTACAGTTAGCTTCCTTTATTCAAATTCGTAACTCCACCATTACGATACCAATCAAATAACCATCCCTTGCTTATTCTCTCCAAATTATTTTTCTTACATTTTACCAAGGACCGGGACATCTTGCAGCTTTCATTTGATGAAAAACTTATCGAGCAAAACAGATAGTACAGAAATTGAAAGGGATGGCTCCGGTTTAGAGTTTTTAGAATCGTTATCCTTAAATCTAAGTAAACTATTAACACGATCGATCAAGTATACACTACAATACCTATTTAATGTGTAGCCAAAGAAGGAATCGTACCCATAGTCTAGAAAGCTATAAAGCGAGTAAAATGTGGAGAAATTAAGAAAACCCTAGAGCAAGGGGTGTCCGGACAACTACACAGTGTAGCTAGATAAGTTTTTTTTTATGCGTTTATACTATAAATTGAATCTTTTTGATTTTTTCGTATGTTTATTTCTTGATATTCTGACTTTTTTTTGATAAAAATCCTGGCTCACTGCCGCAAAGCTGAAAATGGTATACAAGGGATGAGGAATTATTTATCGTTTCATGCACTTTTTACTGACTAAATAGCTGGCGACCAAGTCTCTGATTTTGTCTCAGGGTTTGAATAGTTTGCTGATTATATTACCTACTGATTTGCATGGCAGTGTGTTTTCTTTTTGCTTTGTTTAAAGATATCTGGAATCATTTTTTTTTGGTTGGTTTCCCCGATGTTCGGTAGTCACATTGGAGCTCGACTATATTTGGATTCGCACCGGATAGGGTCCCATTCGGTGATAGTACTCCCTACCAAAGATTTTTTCATACCCAAAATTCGAACACGAGACCTCTCTAATCCACGGTACTAAATCCTTCGGTGATATGGAATCATAACAGCTCATTCATTATCCTTTTAAATATAACTGGCAAACTGAGCTTAAAGTATGCACTGCTTGAAAGTTTTAGTACTTACATTTACATCTGTACCTAGAAAATCTCACCGTGCTCGTTATCTAGCCATCCATATATTAATTTTAATATGTTATAATAGGTTAATATATATATAATAATACTATATGTAACTTTTTGTATTCTCCCAATATATAAGTGAAATCTTTATTTTTCTTAATACTACTGCCTCTGTTTTCTTTTTCTTTACCTCTTCGCTTAACTTGGGACAACTAATTCTAATGATACTATCGAGGGATGCGGTGAGATGGTTGGACCTTTACTTAAAGGCCCCAATTTCGAGTCAGGAGAATGGAATTTAAAACTTCTTGGTAAGGAGGTCTTACCCGACCCGAATCTGGCTAGCTAGATTAATCAGACGAATAGATTGCAAATAGCTTATAGCTTATAAAGAAACTAATCCTAGTGATAAACATACATTTAACCCAAGGAAGCTGTTAGAAGAGAAAACAACAACTACTACTAATAGTACGTACATTATATTTACTTATTTACTCCATTTAGAATCTTTTACAAATTGAGATTTCCAAAGTACTACACGCACGATGTCAGGGTTCATATATTAGAATAAGGTAGATGTCTGTACGGCGGTACCCTAGCTTTGACTATGAGTTGATTTTGAACTCTCTATAAAAACCCAATCTTTGTGTTAGTAGTTAGTACCTTGTCCCTCTCACTTCATGAGGAAAACAATCACTTTCATGTTTTTTAAGAAAGAAAAACTCACTGTTCAAAAATGAGTTCCACTCGTTTCATACAATTGTCACTCATTCTTATGGTCGTTGTTTTGCTTGTCCTAGACCAGTCCTCTTCTGCTCATACTCAGTTAGGTAAGTACANTTTTAGTGTGTTTGGTAGGATTGAAGCCACTTATATTTCAGAAAATGTTTTTATTCGATTTTATTAGAGTGGGTTTTGATGAATTTTTTTGTATAAAAAATTCATAATAATGTCAAAGTGTTGGCCGGTTAAGGCAATGATGTCATGAAGCTAAGATTTATGATAATTGTGAAGTAAAATAACTTCGGCTCCAGAGTGAAGGAAGTCATGTTTCCTAACAACCAAACATTAGAAAATAATTTATTTTCTGAAAATAGTTTTCCATTCCATTACCCTAATTAGGAGCACTGGCCTTTTCTTTTGCTTTTGCTAAATTCTTGGTCTTCTATGCAGGAATAGTAAGGAAGATTGGAGGAAGAAAAATGCTGGAAAATATCCATATTCAGGGACCGGAAAAACATCACATTAACGTTCAGGTTCTCTTTCTCATTCAACACCCCCTTCTGCTGAAAATTAATCTGTGATTTTCTACAAGTTTGAAGAAAAATTTATCTTGCAAAGAAGATATTTTTGTGGAAGATATGTAATATCCAATATATATAAAATCTTATATGTAGAACAATATTCTATATATTTATGTATGCTACTAAATTGTCTAGAATATCTAGTGTTCTAGCATAGATACGATGTCTTCCATCATTTATAATTAACCAAGCCACAACACAATATATCAAATTCCAAGAACATGGTTGCTATCTTAAGTCAATACGATTTTACAATATTGTTATATATAATTTGTTAAACTCTTCCCTTAAATGGTTTTGTATCGAAATTACTACAAGTATAAGAGTTCCTTTTTTTTTCTTCCAAAGATGAGTCTTGTTGCTATTCTACATCTTCAATTTTATATTCAATTTCAATCAACCTTTCGGTGCATCAACACCTTTCCCGGTCCTCTTCCTAAAATGAAACACATATATAGACACACTACACATGTTAAAATGCATTGATAGTGCAAGTTTTTGTGTGTATTGTCATTGTATATGAGTTAAAAGCTCCTCTCACGAGAAGGAGAAAAAATATGCTAAGTAGTACTCTATCCATGATGACATTTTCTGTTTTAGTTTGTCCCAAAAAAAATAATATCTTTCTATATTTAGATAAATAATTTAACTTTACTTCTTATTTTATTCTTATTGAGTAGATTTATAGTCATACAAATATGTATAGATTATTTTATACCACAAATTTTAATTTTTTTTTTTTTAAATTACGTGCCAATCAAAGGAGTACCAATTAACTAAAATCTAAAACATTGCTTTGGGATATATACTTGCATTCTGATACAATGAAATTAACTATATGATAGGTGGAAACACATGAGCCTAATGCAGCATCGAAGAAAGCCAGCTCTAGCAAGACAACTTTGAAGGCACATCATAATGAGAGAGCAAAGAAAGATGATTCTAAGGATCAGTTTCTTGATGCAGCAGATGAAGTAGCAAACCTGATGTGGAAGGATTATAGTGGAAGGGCCCGGCCTCGCCGCAAGCCTCCAATCCATAATTACTATCCTACAACTAAACATTAGAAGTTATGTTGCTCGACTCTCAAAATATGTTGCTGCATTCATGTCGGATCCTCCAAATATGTTAAAGCACTATTTTTGGAGGATCCAATACACACCAATCAATATTTTTGAAAAGGTCGAGCAATATAGAAATTAGAAGTACACTTTATATTTATTATATTACTTTTTACCATAGTACGATAAGTGATGTTTAGGTTTGGGCCTCACAATTTTCCACCCTACAAGTGAAGTGCCCCTCGAATAGTATAAATTATAGGGATGGATCACTTATCTTCTTTTGGCTACTTTGGTTGTAAAAACAAGCATAGGGAAGTTGTTATGTGACCTACCTATTTTTAATATTGTCACTGTATGTAATAGGGTTGTAGAATTGATTAGGCACTGTACATTTGGTTGTATTCTTTAAGTGTTGTCAATGTTAGTGTGGTTTGATTGAGTCTTGATATTATTATCTCACTTACATATAGTAAACTTCGTTGACTCATGCTTAACTTGTGTGTTTTAATGACTAGTTCTGCTTAACTTGTGTGTTTTAGTGGTAAAGTTATGGGCGGTAGCAGGTAACAGGTAAAAAAAGTGGCATACAACCGTTATTTAAAAAAAGGCAAAGTTATAGGAGAGGTAGCAGCGTAAAAATTAGTATCTACAAGCTGCTTTGGATACCATTGATATTAAAAAAAAATACAAAGTTGTGGATCCAACCCCATTTGTTGAAAGGAAAAACTAAAAATAAGAAAAGAATAAGGGAGTAAATTTGCAGAGAAAATCATTAGCGGAAACAAATTGGCAGAAACATGTGATGTCATGACCCAATTCCATACTAGTAGCTTGTTTGGCAAGTTTCTCGGGAGGTCAAAATTATTTTTATTTTTTATTTTTATTTTTTTTTCTCAAAATCACTTTTTATTCCTAACTTGAAATATTTGGCCAAGTTTTTTTGGGGTTTGGGAAGAAGCAGAAGCAGTTTCTGAGAAGCAGAAAAAAGTAACTTCTTCCCAAAAGCAGAAACAGAAGCAGTTTTGATTTTTTTTCTTATCAAAAATACCCTTAACAAAATATAGTATATACTAAAATAACCGTTAAACCTAATACTTAAGATATTAATGTATAAATATTTCTTATTATTTTTAGGATATCTTTCAAATATATAGTGACTTTAGGGGTGAATGCTTTTATATTTCTTGAATAATTTTTAATATATTTAACTTATATTAAAGAATTAAGTACTTATAAATTTTATTTTCATATTTTACTTAAATAAAATAAAAATATTTAATTATTGCCTGTAACAACAAGTTATTAAGATTATTTATTTACTTATAATATTAACTATTAAGTAAATCTATTATGTCCTTATTCGTAATTTGATACTTAAAAGCATTTTCTGAAAAGCTTGGCCAATCACAAATTATTGCTCAAAAGTGCTTTTCAGAGTGATTAGCCAAACACAAACTGCTTCTCTCCAAAAGTACTTTTTTCAAAAGTACTTCTCAAAATAAGTTGATTTCTCCATCTTGGCCAAACAGGCTATAGGTCGAGACTGCACCTAACGCCGCCGTTAGGCAAGCCCACAAGCGAAACTACTATTTATTTATCCCCTTTCAACATATTTTTAATTACACTGAATCTCATGCAACTGTGATAAGTCTTTTTAAACAAAATATCAGCATAACAAGTACCTAGTTTGCGATGATAAAAATGACAAGTACAATAGTACATAAGTGCTACAAATCCTAAATACTCGGCGTCACAAGTACATGAGTAATCTAGAGAATATACAAAATTACTAAAACTAATGTCCGAAAGTAATAGACAGGAATAGTAAATAAGATAGAATGAGACTCCGGTGCTGCGGATCGTAGCAAGGCAAGCAACTTACCCCTAAGTCTCCGTAATGATAGTCTACGCGCCCGCGTGACCACTAGTGGAACCTGTTTCAGTACCTGCACATCAGTACAGAAGTGTAGCGTGAGTACGAAGAACAATGCATACCCAGTAAGTATCTAGTCTAACCTCGAAGAAGTAGTGATGAGGGGTCGACTTGACACTTACTAGAGGTCAATAACAATAATAAAAGTGCATAAAGTAGACATGGTGAGCATACAATAGGTATCAATGAGACAAATAAAAGCAACTACTGTAAATACAACATGAATCCGTAACACCTCACCAACATCTCAAGACTGGCCGTGAAGGCCCTAACTCAATTATATCTAAACCGGAACCTGTTTCGATTATTAAGCACGAAGTTGCCGAGGCGAACGGCCCGATCCCATCAGAATAGTGGTATTCAGTACTGCCGAGGCGAACGACCCGATCCCATATGAATAGTGTTACCATCATACTGTTGAGGCGAACAACCTGATCCCATAAGAATAGTGTTACCATCATACTACCGAGGCAAGCGGCCCGATCTCATACGAGTGGTGCTATTGTACTGCCGAGGCGAACAGCCCGATCCTATAAGAATAGTGTTACCATCATACTATCGAGGTGAACAACCCGATCCCATAAGAGTGGTATTACTGTACTGCCGAGGCGAACGACCCGATCCCATTAGAGTAGGGAAGTTTACCTCGCTCACGGAAGTACTTGTGAAGTGAGAGGACATGGATTTCTTCATAGTTATTAAGTATTCCTCAATTTTTCACAATAAGAAGGCTAATTCGATAATTGCAACTTTAAAATCCCCAGTCTCAGCCTATTCAAGACAGTTAATACGCATGATAAACACAACGATATAATTAAAATCATGATGTGGATCTAAGTCTACCCGAACATATCATGGAATTTAGCTACGCACAGACTCTCATCACCTCGTGCGTACGTAGCTCCGCAGACAAGTAATACACAACACGATATACCTAAGGGGATGAGTTTTCTCTTACAAGGTTAGGCCAGAGACTTACCTCATTTTCAAGCTCACTTTCGATCAACTAATCTGCTCTAAAAGCCCCAAGTCGATGCCGAACAATCCGAAACTAGTCAAATATTATATAATTTAATCAATACATACTCAAAAGTTTATAATTTCGCTATTAGAGTAATTACCCAACCCAAATTAGAAGATTCTTAAAATTCGCCCCCGGGCCAACATTACCCATAGCCTCACAAACTCAAATATATAATTTTTACTTAATTCCATAATCAATTTCGCAGTCAAATCCTATTTTTACCAAAACCCTAGGTTCTTCACAAATCTCACAAGTTTTCACAATCTTTCCATGTTTAATCTACCTACAACCCGCATAATTAACTTAAAAATGGGCGAAAGTTACTTACCTTAGGATATTGATGAGAATCTCCTCTCAAATGTGCTCTCAAAATCTCCCAAGACTAAATGAAAATGTGAGGAAAAAGGTCTAAGTCCCGCAATAAAAGCCCTCACTGCCCCAACTATTTTTGCACCTGCAGCTACTTGATCGCATCTGCGGAACCGCAGGTGCGGTCAAAAGGTTGCACGTGCGACCCCCCACTGTCTACAGCTTCTTCGCTTCTGCGGAGGGGGTGCCGCTTCTGCGAATTCCTTTCGCTTTTAAGACCCACAGCTGGCCAGCCCAAGTCCGCATCTGCGGGGGCGCAGATGCGAAAAATCCTCGCACCTGCGACCACCCAGCTCCAGCCTCAAATCCGTTTCTACGACCACTGGGCCGCTTCTACGAACTCGTACCTACAGCTAAATCCACGCAAGTGCGAACGCACCAGACCTGAAGCACCAGCAGTCCCCCATGCCAAATTCTGAGTCTGATTCCAATACATTTTGCATCCAGGGCCCCCGAGACCCCGTCCAATTACTCTCCCACATCCAATAATATAATACGGACCTTGCTCGCGTGATCGAAAAATCAAAATAACATCTAGAAATACGAATCGGATGCCAAAACACATGAATCAAATCATGAAACTCAAAAGCTTCAAAAAAATACTTCCGCACGTCCGATTCCTATCAAATCAACTCGGAATGACGCCAAATTTTGCGTGCAAGTCTTAAATCACCATACGGAACTATTTTCCAGGCTCAGAATCGCAAACGGACCTCGATAATACCAAAGTCTACTCCAAACCAAACTTAAAGAACTTGTAAAACCTAAAATGCGCCAACTTTCAGTATTATGCGCTGAAACGCTCCCAGGTCATCCGAAACCCAATCCGAACACACGTCTAAATCCAAAATCATTATACGAACCTATTGGAATCGTCAAATCCCAGTTCTGAGGTCGTTTACTCAAAATGTTGACTCAAGTCAAACTTAACCATTATAGGCTACTTTTAAGGAACTAAGTGTTCCAATTTTAACCCAAATACTTCCAAACCTGAACTAACCATCCCCGCAAGTCATAAAACAATTAATTAGAAAAATGGGGATTTAGAAAGTAAAACGATCGATCAAATCATTACATGTGATGAAAAAATTGAAGATGTGGCCAAAATTTATCATTGGTATAACCAATAGTTATCTTCTCATTTGTGTATTCCTGACACAAGTCACAAACAAAGAGAAGAAATAGTTTATGAAGAAAATAGAATGTGAACGATGTCAAAATGACGGTGAAAGCCTATATTTAAAATTCACTGGACGGACGTTAAAAATGAGCTCTTGAATTTTACAAGTTCCTTATTAGCTTATGTGTCTTAGTTTATGGCGTGTGAAAGCCTATATTTATATTTGAACGAAAATGTCATATCATGCAATGGAGCTTAGAAGAAGGTGACTCCACAGCCGATACCTTTTCAATTCTTCGGCTCATTGTTAGTAGCTTCACGTATTCAATATCTTGAAAAAAGGTTACGGTTAGTAAAGGAAGATTTATGAAAAAAATGGTTAATGTAGTCGCTATTTTAGTATACTATTAGAGTTTAGCCACCTTTTAAATTGTATTTGCAAAATAGTCACTTTTTAACGCGCAAATAAAATTTGAACAAAAATATTCCTATGTAAAATTGGGAAGAACTCTAGGAAGAACTACTGGAGTCTGAACATTTATAAGTTCAAATCCCATAATTTGTTTCTATAGTTTTAAAATTTTCTACGGATGAAACTCTAAAAAATTTTATAGGTAAAATTCCGGCACCGTAGATTGGAGTTCGAAACTGTAACAAGTATAACCCCAGCACACTATGCTGTAGTTCTAAACTAAAGATGAACCCACTGTAAAACCTAGAAGGGGATTAGCACCAGAACACATCTTGACTGCAAATAGGGATGAAATAAAAGATGAAGCTCATGAGCATATGCTCCATGAGATTATTGAAACTGTAGCGTTGCAAATGTAAAAATATTATGGGGCGTCCTATTTGGTTGTTCCCATTTAATCTTTTTTCTTCTTCTTAGTTATTGTACAAAAATAGATTTGACGGTAAATTTATATGGTGTTTGTGAGCAGGTTTTAAGGTATTT